GCTGGTTTTAACTGGAATCCTGAGGACCTTGTGTCAGCTTAGGGACAGGGAATTCCCTCAGAGGGGCCCCAACTTCCAACCAGTCGTACCGGTCAGACAGCCCCTGCCCACCTGCTCTGGCGGGCATCTGGCCTGCCAGCCCAGCTGGGGACTTAAGGCTCTATCCCTGGCCTCTGGGGACTGAATTCCATCCGGGTGGCATTCATTGGCTGCTGTGGCGGGAGAGGCTGGGGGAGGGGAATGCAGAGCTTCTAAGGGGCTTTAGTCTGGACAATGAGTTCCATACCCCCCTCCCAGAAAGGCTGGGGCAAGGCATCCCTGTGTCATTCTAAAGCTGCTGCCTCAGGTTCTAGGAATCATTGAATTTCTACTGGGGGTGGGGTGGGTGGGGTGGGGTTAGCTAGATCAGAGTGAAACATTTGCTTCCCCTCCCCCCTGGGGGGGTTGATGCTTGGAGCCAGAGCTGGGTGGTGACTTTGTCTTTGTCTTCCTGGGGTGGAGTCCTTCCTAGGAGGGGAGTGGGGGAGAGGGAGGGAGACTGACCAAGTTTGGCCCATCTTTTTTGATGTCTTGTTCTTAAAGTCTTTTGCTCTCTTCTCCAGGCCTGATCACTTGAATGGACATATCAAGCAGGTGCACACTTCTGAGCGACCTCACAAGTGTCAGGTAGGGCTGGGAGCAGGGTGGAGTTGGGTGGAAGAATGTGTTGCTGTGTTGAGCCTTGGCCATGAGCAGGCTGCTGTATCAGCCAGTTAACTGACCACTGTTTTGCACAGGCCTCCCACTCTGTCTCTCCAGTGTCTCCCTCTGTCCTCCTTTGTTCTGGACCCCAGCCCTCTTTGCTTCCCCCAGGGCTGAGATCCTTTTTCTTGGTTACTTGGTTCTGTTGCTTAGCTTTCCTGTTCTGGCCTTTGCAGGCTCCTGGCTGGTGGGCCACACTGCCACAAGTGTTGTCCTGGTGGGTCTGACACCTTGCTGGGCCTGACTGCTGGTTTCCAGTAGTTTTTATGAACTGTAGGAATTTCAAAAGGGCTTCTGCTGGCCCAGCCATCAACCTTTCCCCTGGTTTGAGCTGAGTGGGTACTCAGGTTCCATCAGTGGAGAAAGCATGGCATTAGGAGAGGCTAGAGGTAGGGAGAGGGTGGTCCCATCTCCAAGGCAAACAGCAGGAGCAAGGCAAGGCATTCTCTTCCAGTGTGGAAGAAGGGAAGGCTGGACTGGATTTTCTCCTGTCTTCTTGAATGGTGTCTGGGGCTCTAGGGGACCTAGAAAGATGAGTTTTCCTTCCTGGCCTCTAAGCATTGCTGTGTGATGAAATATACACCACTGTCTTCCTGGTTGTTTCCCCTCTGCTATGGCAAGTGTCTTCAACTGATTTCAAGACAGTGTTATGAGATACTCGTATAGTCTCTGACAGGGATAGCTACTTAACTTGTTGGCCAGGGCAGGTTCCGGGAGATTAGAGGAAGGAATGGATGTGCACAGGAGGACAGAGTTCCAAGGACTAGGGGTAAGCGTTGTTCACAGAGGCATGGCTAGGCAGACTGTCTCCCAAGGATGCTGACTCAAGATAGGCCTGCTGGAATCTGTCTTTGCCTTGCTGCTTTCTGCCTCTCCACCTCTGATTCTGTTGTCACAGAGCACATTCTGATTCCCAGGTAGTGTGCTGAGCTGCCCCAGGCAGGATAGGAGGAGCCCAGAGGGCAATGGGGGTGTGCCCGGTGGCCTGGGGGGGTAACCTGCACTCTCTGCCCTTTTTCCAGGTGTGGGTTGGGAGCAGCAGCGGCCTGCCGCCCCTGGAACCTCTTCCTAGCGACCTGCCATCATGGGACTTTGCCCAGCCTGCTTTGTGGAGGTCGTCCCATTCAGTTCCTGATACCGCCTTTCCCCTCTCTCTAAAAAAGTCCTTCCCAGCCATTGAAAACCTGAGCCCAGCACACTCCAGCAATGCTCTCTTCTGCCCAGCCCCGCCAGGATATCTGAGGCAGGGTTGGACAACCCCAGAGGGTAGCCGGACCTTTACTCAGTGGCCTGTAGGCTAGCCTGAGTTCTTCTGGAATGGTGGAGGGGAGTGGTGGCTGGCTGGAGACCCTGCTTTTGGGAGAAGCCAGCAAGATGGTTCCTGCCCACCATTCCCAGATCTTCCCAAGATGGCCTAAAGTATACCCCAGCTGAAAGCTCTCAAATAGTGATTAGCAAGGAACACCTTTCTGAATGCCCCACCCCCAGTCTCCGAGTTTCTTTCTGAATACGCTTGTCTCTCCTCCCCATACCTTGACAAGGGGATACCCTGGGCAAGCAGCTTTGTCTGGGTGACTCTGGAAGTTGGTGATTCTCAGGAGCTAAGCCCCACCTGTGTGCTTCCCTTCCCATGGCCTCACTTCTCATACTGATTGGGGTTTCTGGCCACCTTCCTCGCACTTGGGAGTCACTCCACCTCCCGAGAAGCCTCTGGCACAGCTTCAACCACGGTCCATTGTGCTGTTGTGCTCTTCCTCCTCACAAGGTCCTGCTTCCATTTCTGCCTAGTGAGTTAGATGCTCATGGTTGAGTTTTTTTTTTCAGCTGCTCTGCTCAGAACTAAACTAACCAGTAGCTTTGTATTGTGATACATGGCTTTAGGGGCTGACAAAGCAGATAGATACTCCCTCCCCCAGGTCCCTTCATGTGTCCCTTAGCCCTGCATACTCTGCCGGGAGATCAGGAGTGAAGATAAAAGTTTTCATTCTAACATTTGAGGCTTTGTGTGTTTTGTCCTTGGTCTGTTATAACAACTGGCATTATTGTCCCTTGGTGTATGAGCCACCTCCTGCCCTGCCTTTGCCCTTCCGCACCACTCTCTCATAGACCTGACCCTGTAGCCAGAACCTTCTGAAGACCCAGCAAGGTATGTGCTGCTGGCTGTCACACTCTAGGCTTAGTTAAACCTCAGGGGCCTCCTCAGCCACAGAGAATGAAAAGGGTCGGTTACTCAGACTGATAGAAAAGCCTTTTGAAGGTAAGGGGCAGGGAGCCTCAGGCTTAAGTCTCCTTAACTGGTTCACATGCCCCAGCCATTGTCCTGGCCTGGAATTCAGCCAGAGCTGAGAGACTGGAGTGTCTTAGCCCTCTTCCATTGCTTCTAGTGACCCTATGTCTGAGGCTGGTCAGACAAGGATGGGGGGAGGGGGTAACATTCAAGACAAAGGGGCTAAGCCAGTGGAGCTGGACTTTATGTGTTACCCTTAGATTCCCCCCCCCTGGCTTTTCAAGGTGCCCCCTATGGCTTCTGACTGCTAAGGCCTCTTAGGGTTGGGGGGTCCCATCCTCCAGCTGCCCCACTCAGCACTGAAAGCTTTAGAAAGTGTGGGGTGAACATTAAGCATGACAGGCTCGGTGGTGAGTAGTGATGATAAGCCTGCTAACAATCGCAGACTGTGAGCCTTGGCTGAGCACACAGTAGGCACTTCAAGCCAGCAGGCAGTCACACTGCTCTTGGCTCGCTGGCTCCCTTTCAGGGTCCTTCTGTTTACTCCCTGTCTATAGAATGGGGAGTTCTTTCATCTGGGTCTCTTTAAGGTCTGTTTCCCTCAGCCCCTCCTCTGCTCTCCTGAGTCATGTGACTAGCCTCTTTTGTGTTCTGTGCTGTCAGAAGTTCTGGTTGGCCCAGACTTGGACTCACACACAGAAAAGTCTGGAGACTCCAGCCACAGAGGGCCAATTGAACAGGAAAGCCAACAGTTACTTTAGTTTGGCTTTGTATCAAGGTGGTAGTTTCTGTTGTGGTTTCTTTATCCCAGTAGGAGATTGGCATTCCTAATTGTGTTTGCTGGGGTTAAGTTAGCCTTATTCCTTGAGATAATCAGTGGAGGACAAGGTAGAGGAAGCCAGCTGCATCTTCAGTTTTAATTTTACTTAGTTAATCCCCAAACATTTAATCCACTTGGGGATAATCTAGGGTTAGCTGTCCATTATGTTAGGATACCAAAGTACAACAGGCAAAGCCTTTAAAGGAAAGATGGGAAATGGTTGTCAAGAGAAACAAGGTATCTTTCATGCCTCAGGCTTACTCTCCAGAAAGAGGAAGATAATCCTGAATACTTCCACTTGGTCATGTTTGAGTTCTGAGGCTTAAAATGTTCTTGGTAGCTGAGGTGGCACACACCTTTGATCCCAGTATTTGGGAGTGAGGCAGGTGGATCTCTGTTCACAGTCAACCTGGTCTACATGGTTAGCCCATGTTTCAAAAAATGAAAATAAGCACTCACACTCTGACAGCTATAGGGTAGGGTAGTTCTGGGATCTTCAACGGAGCTAGCTCTTGTCCCTGGATGACACACGTCTATCCCTCTCCTCAGAGGTGTGGATGAGAGCCCTTGCTGTGGTTTACAAGGCGCTAGGCTGGGTGGCAGAGTTTGCACAGCCCTCTCACTGTGGCCTACCACTGGGTCATGATGACAACTCTGAGACTGAATAGCCAAGATGCTTTCTGGGTTGTCCAGGTGCTGGAGTTTGCCTGCACATCCTTGCCCCAAGTACACAGGGTCAGTGTCAACACCTTTCTTTCCTAGGATGCACCTGTATTGCCTTCAGAAGTGGTAAGGGTATATAGACTTGAGGTCAGTTCTCAACTCACAGGGCAGCTGTCTGCCCAGCTATACACTGGTTGAGACAAAAAGACCTCTGTGTTGCTGGAAGATGGCTTGGAGATTGATCTGGTCAGGGTGTTTAGATTGTTCCTTTCTCTACTACTTGAGTCTTGGGCAAGTTCACTATCTAATGTTAGCTTCCTCATTTGTCAAAGAAAAACATAAAAGCAGAATGACGTTAGGGTGACCTGTTTAAGTTAGCACTGTTTACTTGTGAGAGAACAGGAGCTGGCTTGTGCTGGTGCAGGTATCTGGAGTTGAGGAGGGAAATGGTGGCGGCATCTACCTCCATGCATTGCTATCGGCTTCATGCTTTGACTGTACAGTAAGGACATACATATGTGTATGTGGGAACAGTGGTCAGACACTTACCTTGAGATTTCAGGTTATCAAGACCCACTTCTAACAGAAAATAGAGGCAGCTCCCTTCTGCCAAGCTGATGGGGTAGCGGATTAATAGCAGCACCCTCCGCTGTGAAGGCTGCTTTCTCTTACAGCCCTAAAGCAAAGCACACACAGGGAAAAGAAATTTAAGTTCAATTTGACTTTAGTCTCTGAGGCATCTCCATGGAAATGGAGTATTTCCAGTAGCTTGAAAGCCACTGGGTCTGCCTCTTTTCAAGGCGTTGTTACATTCTGTGTTCCCCAAGGCACCCCAGCCTTTGCATGCCCCAACAGAGGAAGGGATGTTGGGGAGAGATAATTGCTAGGGAGCTAGATCCTCATTCTCAGGGTGTGGGTTCTGACCGTTACTTCACAGTTACAGGGGCTAGCTGCGGATCATGCTGGGTTGTACCTTTCAGTGGCGGCACACTCCTAGAGTGTGCAGGGGTAACAGCCTGCCTTGGGGACCTGCTATATGCATGAGCCACCAAACATGAACGTCTCTGTATTAGTCTGAGCTCAGAGCCTGCTCCGTCACACTGGTGTCACTGTTCTTAGCAATCCCTCTCCACCATAACATTGCACAAATGTCCTCAATGCCTGCAGCCCATTTCCTCCATTCTCACATTAGCAGAACTGACACTATCATTTTATAAGCTGCTTTTTAAATTCACATTACAAGAATATTGTGAAGTGTTATCTTTGTACTTTGTCCTGCCTTTTCCATTTCCCTGTGGCCAAGACAAATGTCATATTTGAATGAAGCAAATACACTGGAGTCTTTAAAATAAAGTGATAAGGGGAACAGGGATGGGGAGCAGGAAGACTGGTTTATGTGCTATAGCTCACTTATAGCCATTGCTCCTAAAGTCAGTGCTTTTGTGGTTAAGAACGAGCAGATATTGAGGTGCACACCTGTGATCCCGGCACTTTGCCGAAGGACGAGCAGTTCAAGGTCAGGTTCAGCTATACAGACTTTGAGGTTAGCCTGCAATGCATGAGACCCTGTCTCGAAAAATCAAGGGGTGAGGAGAAAAAAAATGAACTCCTCACTCATAGAGGAGTACAGGACTTAACTGGTCATGTTTTGAGCTTTTCTGTGGTAAAGAACCAATAATTCCACCTCATATCCCATGAAATAGCACTATGGGAAGGAAGGACAGCCCTTTGGCATTGTGAGTAGAGCCTTACCTGAACCTCCCAGCTTTCTAAAGGGACTGATTGCACAAGGTAACCAGAAACGGCTTTGCTTCCTGGTGTACTTGGCCAAGGGTGAGATGTCTGCTGTTCCTCATCCTGTTTTCCTTTCTGCACTCAGACCTGCAATGCCTCTTTTGCTACTCGAGACCGTCTGCGCTCCCATCTGGCCTGTCACGAAGACAAGGTACCCTGCCAGGTGTGTGGGAAGTACCTGCGGGCAGCGTACATGGCAGATCACCTGAAGAAGCACAGCGAGGGACCCAGCAACTTCTGCAGCATCTGTAACCGAGGTAATTTCCCCACTGTCTCCTCACTTTAGAGGATGGGCCTGATCTTGTGGGAGCCCACTCTCCCCGGATTGAGAAATGCCTTCACCCAGGCTTTGAGCACATCTCTCAGCTAGTTGTCTGAAACCTCTTTCTTTCTAAGAGGCTTGGGTGCTTAAAAGAGCCCAAGAGACTTAATAATGGGAACAGAAGGAAAGAGGTAATCCCCCAAACTCGGGGTCAAATACACCTCCCCAGTGGCAGGCTAGATGAATTCACAAATACACTAAACAGAGGTTGGCTAGGGGTCATTAGCCTGATTGGGCCAGTCCACTCACTGGCATATGAGATTCAACAGCCAGGGAAGGAGGCTGGATCTGGAGATGAGCAAGAGACAAAAACTTTCTAGTATAAATGTTTAAAAGATTCGAAACAGAATGTGGCCTTGATGAAAGACAAAGTGGAAGGTGCTCTGAGAAGACAGTGCGCTTGAGGCGAAGGTTGGCCTGTGTGGTGTCTAGCTGTGGCAGCAGTGCAGTGTTGTTTTGGATGAAGTCCACCATGTTCTTGAGGCTCTGCTGGGTAGAGTTGGCTGTCGGAAGTGTTGGGAGTTTGTTTGCAAGCAGTGTCTGTACTGAAGGAGTTGGGGCGAGGCTGCTGCTGGCTTTGGCCACTTGGGCGTGTTGCTTGTTGTTTCCTGGGGCACTCTTGTGTCAGTGTTTTTGTAAGTCTAGTATCTGACCAGGAATCAGGAGACACAGGGTTCAGTTCCAGCCTTTGCTATGTAGCTTTGGGCTCTCCTTGCCTTGCTTCTTCTATTAAAAGTGATTAAGAGCCTTCCCTTTTCCATCTCATGGGGTTGTTGTGAGTACCCTAAGACAAAGTAGCTGAGAGTTCTTGTACCTTTCGGACACCCCTCCTTACACTGTAAAAGGGTAAAATCGTTTGATGCTGCTTCCTGATAGTCTGGTTTGGACAAGGCACAGGAACCCCTGCAGGGTGCTGTCTCGGTGAGGCACACTGCTGGGTAGATGTTTTCTTGGAGTCCTGGAACCAGGTGCCTTCCAGAGACCGCTCTCTGATTTGCCTTGAATGCAGCCACTAGCTGCTTCAGCTGCTTCGTTTCCCTCTAGGAGCAAACATTAGGGTGGTGAGGTCAGGCGTCTTAGAAAGCTGGTTTCTGCCTTGTTTCATCCTAACCTGGCTTCCAGAGAGTACCTCCAAATACCTCTAAACTTGCCTAAATGCACCCTCAGAAGGACTTTGTCGGGTTCCCTATCCTGGACTGGTTCCATCGGCAGAGCTGAGAGCTGCGAAAGGATGTTAATAAAACCGGAAGTCCAGCCCAGATGACAGGCTCGGGCAAGAACTGCACAGAGCCCAGGTGGGGCAGCAGCGAGGTTCACCCATTAGGACACAGTTTTCCTCAAGAGCTGCAAAGAGGACTTGAACACCAGCCACAAGCCATGTGACTAGAGTGTGGCATTCACAGAGTAAAGCCAGAGCCTACCAAGACTGTGGGCACAGGCTCGAGAGCAGTCTTCAGCAGGAAGACCCGTTCCTCCAGGACTAACCTGTGCTGAGTGCTCAGAAGAGAAAACAGCTGCAGCCATTCTCAGGCGAGGGACAGCTGGATGCTGCCTCTGGACGACCAAACAGACAGCAACACACAGACACCATCAAAACAAGAGGGTGGAAGAGGATGAGGGGGCTCAGTGTCACCCTTTGCCCTGTGCTTACCTAGGCTGTCAGGCTTAAATAAATAAATGTTCTTGGAGCTGGGCTTGTGATTTGGTGGTAGAGCACCTGCCTTGCATGTCACGGCTTTTTATCCAGTCCTAGGCACTGCAGAATAGTCTCAGGTGAGACTGAATCAGGTGAACTCACAGGTATCTTCTGAAATCTTGTAGTCCAAAATATTGTGTTACTTTTTTTGGAATATTTTTAAATTGTGTGTGTGCATGTGTGCGCGCGTGTGTACCATGTATGTGTAGGAGCCCATGGAAGACATCAGATCTCCTAGAACTAGAGTTATAGGAGGTAGTGGGCCAGGATGTGGGTGCTAGGAACCAAAACTGGGTGCTGTTACAGAGGATTGTTTTTAACCACTGAGCTGTCTTTCCAGCCCTACTGTGAAGCCCAGGCTGGCCTCAGCTTGCAGTGTTGCTTGTGATCTTTGCATTTGAGAGACTGAGGCAAGAATTCCGAGCCAGCTCAAATTCCAAGCCAGCCACTGCTACACAGCGAGCTCTTGTCACAAAGGAGAAGAGGTCAGGCCTAGTGGCCTGCTCCTGTGGCACTTACAAGGCTGAGGCAGGAGTATTCTCATGAACTCAAGGATAGCCTGGGCTAAATGGCAGTTACTAGGCCAGACAAGACCTTCTATCATAAAACAGAACAAACAACAACAAAAATACACAAGAGGGGGTTGGAGAGATGGCTCAGCAATTAAGAGCACTTAGCTGCTTCAAGAGGACCTGGCTTCAATTCCCAGCACACACATGGCAGTTCACAGCTGTCTGTAACTCCTGTTCAGGGGATCCGGCACTCTCATTCAGACATACCTGCAGGCAAAACACCAATGTACATAAAATAAAAATAAATAATTAAACACACACACACACACAATGAAGGCCAGGTGTGGTGATGCACACCTTTGATCCCAGCACTTGGGAGCCAGAGGCAAGCAGATCTCTTGAGTTCAAGGCCAGTCTGGTTTATAAAGTGAGTTCCGAGACAGCCAGGGTTACACAGAGAAACCCTGTATTGAAAAACAAACAAAAAACACACAAAGGGGGCTGGAGAGATGGCTCAGAGGTTAAGAGCACTGACTGTTCTTCCAGAGGTCCTGAGTTCAATTCCCAGCAACCACATGGTGGCTCACAACCATCTATAATGAGATCTGGTGCCCTCTTCTGGCATACAGACATACATGGAAGGAATGTTGTATACATAATAAATAAATAAATAAAAATTAAAAAAAAAACCACACAAAGGAAACTTTCTCCTGTCAGATGAGCACGAGGGCAGCGAGGTGGTGCTGTGCCGCTCTCCTGCACTGGCAGTCCTAATGCATTGTTAGATTTGGCCGCTCCAGGGTTTGGACACAGAAAACACAGTCCCCAGTCTCTGCAGGAACACAGGCGAGAAAATACAACTGAAGAACAGTGGCCTTGCGCCATAGCAAACTCTTCGTTTCTGGAGAGGGACATACTTGCTGGCAGCAGTCACATGTGTGCGCAGTGCTTCCATCATGGAGGCCCAACATCAAGCTGAGTAGGTGGGTGAGCTTAGAATTTCAGCTAAATACATCTCGCCTTAAAGATATGTTCTGCCCAGAAACTCAGTTTCTGTTTCATCCCAACACTTGACTTGCTGAGTTGCTGTGTTTAAGTTCTGGGCTGTAAGTGGCAGCTGTGGGTCTGTTCTTGCCACTTTCCAGATAAGTTTGCTATAGGTAGTACCATCCACAACCAGCAGAGAGTCAAGGAATCCAGCCACATATTCCACAGAATGGTTTTTGGGAACATACAGGATGTTTTTTATTGAGTATCTGCTGTATTTTCTTGGTAGATCACTCTCCCTACACAGAGTGCTTTTCTTTCCATTCACTTGGACTATAGTGGACCTGGTTCTGGCATGCCATGAGGGGGCTTCACTCTACTTCAGAGGCCCCAAAGGAATGAAAAACCAAAGAAAAATTCTCTTGTGAAGTGGTAGCATTGTATGTCAGAAAGTTCTGTTGTCTTATACTGGTTTCCAGGGCCACTGTGTCCTGTTGGGTTTGTGTTTGTGTTTTACAATGCTACCTGGAGGGGCAGGGCTAAAAGCCTCCTCTTCTCTTTAGCCTTGCCTACCCATTCTTGGCTATAGCTTACTTCTTAGGAATGTCTGTCCTCCAGTGTCTGGCCTCAGGCCAACCACTTAAGTATAGCCCAGACAGCTCCCCAGGCAGGCCAGACAACTAGCACCTGGTCCAGGCCAATCTTTGAAGTAACTGTATTAAGAAAGGAAATACTCTCCTGATCACACATTTCCCTGGAGGACCACTACCACCTGCTATCCTCAGGAGTTTTTGCTAAAGAAAGTTCCCACAGGCCAGCCCTCTGTTTCCTGGCAGCCCTTTTTAACACATTCATTATCACACAGTTGTGGTGATGATAATGAACCCTATTACACAAGTCCAAAGGACTTTTTTGTTGTTTGTTTTAAAGCTCAAGGACAGTTTTTTTTACTAGAGTTTGAAAGAAAATTATCAGGGTATATTAGGCATATTAGGCAGAGTTCTCTAGAGGAACAGAACTGATAGAATGGAAGTGTGTGTGTGTGTGTGTGTGTGTGTGTGTGTGTGTGTGTAAGAAAAGGTGATTTATTAAAATGGCTTACAGGCTGTGGTCCAGCTAGTCCAACGGTGGCTGCCTACCAATGGAAGGTATTGAGAGTGTGAGCAAGCAGGTAGAGAGAACAAGCTTCCTTCCATGTTTTTTATATAAGCTGCCAACAGAAGATGTGGCCCAGATTAATGGTGGATCTTCCCATCTCAGAAGATCCAAACTAAAAGTGGGTTCACTTCAAATTATTTAATTAAAAAAAATCCCTCACAAAGCCAGGCGGTGGTAGCACAAGCCTTTAATCCCATCACTTGGGAGGCAGAGATGGAATCTCTGTGAGTTCAAGGGCAGTCTGATCTACAAGAGGGAGTTCCAGGACAGCCAGGGCTGTTAGGCAGAGAATCCCTGTCTCGGGTGGGGGATGGGGGGAACCTGACAGGTATACGTAGCTGCTTGAATTTTAGTTAATTCCAGATGTAGTCAAGCAGACAACCAAAAATAGCCATCACACAGGTATACAAGT